GGACCCCTCGCACGAAGCTCTGCGAGAGCAGGAGGTGGGGCAGTTCCTAGGACTAGGAGCAATAGAGGCGGTGCCCATGGAGTTCATGGGCAAGGGGTATTACTCCCGTTATTTCCTTATCCCAAAGGCCAAAGGGGGGCTCAGGCCCATCCTGGACTTGCGAGGTCTGAACCAGTACATGGTGAAACTCAAGTTCTGCATGGTTTCCCTGGCCTCCATCATCCCCTCCCTGAATCCCGGGGACTGGTACTCTGCCCTCGATCTACAGGATGTATACTTCTACATCCACATGTTTGAGGGGCACAGGCACTTCCTCTGTTTTGTAGTGGGACAGAATCATTATCAATTCACGGTCCTCCCATTTGGTCTGTCCACTGCCCCCAGGATGTTTATAAAATGAATGTTGGTGGTAGCGGCCTACCTCAGAAGGCATGGGGTCCAGATATTTCCCTATCTGGCTGATTGGCTTGTCAAGGGCACCTCCCGGTCGCAGGTGAGGGATCACGTGGCGCTCCTCCTGTCCACGTGCACCGCCTTGGGCCTGTTGGTAAACAACACCAAGTCCACGTTAGTCCTGGTCCAATGCATAGAGTTTATCGGGGCGCTCCTGGACACAGCGTTGGCCAGGGCCTCTCTCCTGCCAGACAGATTCAAGACCCTGAAAGGTCTCATCGACTTGGTCACAAGGTTCCCGATGACAACATCCAGGGTTTGCCTGCAGTTCTTGGGTCACATGTCGGCGTCCATGTACGTGGTCCATCACGCCAGACTCAGGATGAGGCCCCTCCAGCTCTGGCTGGCCTCGAAGTTCTCCCAGGCCACGGACAGGATGGACAAGGTCCTCACCGTGCTGGACTCTGTGATTACCTCCCTACCGGTCGTGGTCCGCCCCAAACAACACGCTCCAAGGGGTTCCGTTCAGGGACAGGGCCCCATCCTTGGAGCTGGTGTCCAATGCGTTGGGCCTGGTTTAGGGGGCCCATGTGGGGAACTTTCAGACCCAAGGCCTGTGGCTGGCTCAAGACCTGACCCTACATATAAACATCAAGGAGCTCAGGGCGGTGCAGCTGGCGTGTATGGCCTTCTGCTCGCACCTGGAGGGCAAGGTAGTCAGGGTCCCCGCAGATGTCAAAGTGAGATTCAGGACTCACATAATTTGTCAGACCACTCTGTTTATTAGCAAAGCGCCTTGCTAATGCACCCAGATGTGAGCCCCTCTCTGAGGCCCAAGATAACTTATTTATACAGCTAAACCAAAACCAATTTTAACATAAGAGACAAAATAAAGCAGAAATTGACAAATATACATACATATCTTATTTGCATACTAACGTTTACCAATCTCCTAGCTCAGTAGGAGCTCTAAGTTAATTAGTTTGAGGACCCATTGTCTCACACTCCTTAATGTTTCTCTTCCTGACAACTATATTTCAACAAACCCTTCAAGTAGCATTTCTTTAATGAATTATAATTTCAATATAATTCATTCTACTTTCACACGGACAACACAGCCTCAATGTTCTATATCAAGAGACAAGGCGGGGCCTGATCCTCTGCCCTCTGCCACGAAGCCCTCAGTCTGTGGGACTTCTGTATAACCCACGACATCCACCTGAAGGCCTTCTACCTACTGGGCGCCCGGAACGAGAGGGTGGATCGCTTGAACAGGGACTTTTCCTCTCAGCACGAGTGGTCCCTCCACCTGGAGGTGGCCCGCCGGCTCTTCCGAAGGTGCGGAACTCCCCAGGTGGACCTATTCATGACTCAGCAGAACCGGCAATGCCCCCAGTTCTGCTCCAGGGGGGCCCCGGGGAGGGGTGCTATCTCCAATGCCTTTATCCTGTCTTGGTCAGGCCGGCTTCTCTACACCTTCCCCTGTTCCCTCTAATCAGCAGGATCCCGGAGAAGATAAAGACGGACAAGGCCTGGGTCCTCCTGATTAGGGAGCTAATCAGACTAGGGACCGAATGGCTAGGCAGCAGTTCTGCGGAAAAGGACCTAGGGGTGACAGTGGACGAGAAGCTGGATATGAGTCAGCAGTGTGCCCTTGTTGCCAAGAAGGCCAATGGCATTTTGGGATGTATAAGTAGGGGCATAGCGAGCAGATCGAGGGACATGATCGTTCCCTTCTATTCGACATTGGTGAGGCCTCATCTGGAGTACTGTGTCCAGTTTTGGGCCCCACACTTCAAGAAGGATGTGGATAAATTGGAGAGAGTCCAGCGAAGGGCAACAAAAATGATTAGGGGACTGGAACACATGAGTTATGAGGAGAGGCTGAGGGAGCTGGGATTGTTTAGCCTGCAGAAGAGAAGAATGAGGGGGGATTTGATAGCTGCTTTCAACTACCTGAAAGGGGGTTCCAAAGAGGATGGCTCTAGACTGTTCTCAATGGTAGCAGATGACAGAACGAGGAGTAATGGTCTCAAGTTGCAGTGGGGGAGGTTTAGATTGGATATTAGGAAAAACTTTTTCACTAAGAGGGTGGTGAAACACTGGAATGCGTTACCTAGGGAGGTGGTAGAATCTCCTTCCTTAGAGGTTTTTAAGGTCAGGCTTGACAAAGCCCTGGCTGGGATGATTTAACTGGGAATTGGTCCTGCTTTGAGCAGGGGGTTGGACTAGATGACCTTCAGGGGTCCCTTCCAACCCTGATATTCTATGATTCTATGATTCTATGATTGCCCCAGCGTGGCCCAGGCAGCATTGGTATGGGACCCTCAGGGGCCCGCGAGCTCCCTCCAGGGAGCAGGTCTGGGGCTTGCCCCGCTCCATCCCAGCCTGGGGTGCCAGGTCGGGGGCTGCACTACATTGCTCGGCCCTGCTCCGGCGCTTCAGCCAGGGCGCCCCCACTCCGGGGCGCAGGGTCAGGGGCCACACCACGCAGCTCCTGGAAGCAGCTGCATGGCCCCACTTTGGCTCTCAAGCAGGGTCGGGGGCTGCTCCAAGCATAGGAGCTGGAGAAGGAACATGCCACTGCTTCCGGGAGCCACTTGAGGTAAGCACCACTCGGAGCCTGCACCCCTGAGCCTCTCCCTATGCCCCAACTCCCTCCTCCGACCTGATCCCCCGGCCTGCTCTCCAAATCCCTCAATCCCCAGCCCCACCCCAGAGCCTGCACTCCCAGCTGGAACCTGCATCCCTTCCTGCACCCCTACCCCAGCCCTGATTCCCCTCCTGCCCTCTGAATCCCTCGGTCCCAGCCCAGAGCACTCTCTTACACCCCAAACTCCTTATCCCCAGCCCCACCCCAGAGCCCACACCCCCAACCCCAATTTTGTGAGCATTCATGGCCCGTCATACAATTTCTATTCCCTGATGTGGCTCTCAGGCCAAAAGGTTTGCCCACCCTTGCTATAGAGAATAGTATGAAGAACTGCCCTCTTTCAAAATGGCTGCCAGTCTCCCATTCTTCTCACTGAGACTGAAGCCACTGGAGCCCTCAGTTGGTGGCCATTTTGAGAAATCTCTTTCCCCTTCCCCCTTTCTTATTTTTCCACAGTGGAATGGAGTGTTTCCATCTCCTCACAAAACAGGGGGTGGGGTTACCCTTTTCACTCAGGGCAGCTGTAACTTCAGCCCAACTGAGAACAATGGGATATGGTTCATGACAGCTAAACTTTCAGTATGAAAAATAATAGCAAAAAATGACCATTGGCATTGTCTTAAATTAGAGAGACAAAGTGGGTAAGAGGTAAGATCTTTGATTGGACCGACACACCTACAACTACACTGCATATATTATTTTAAATATCTTTTCAAAAGCCACTCATTGCCCGAGAACCACTGAACAGGTAGGCCAGGAGCAGAGGGGACACATTGGGAGGGGCATGAGTGCATACATGGTAACATAAGGAGGTGTAGGGAGGTTCAAGAAATGAGGATTTTGGAGGACGGAGGTGGGGAAAATAGGATATGTGCTCCAGCTGTTTTGCACGGCTCTGGCAAAACAAAGCACCTATACACTCACTTTAGCTGGCCAGTATTTTCCAGTTGCATTGTGCTGCTCAATAATAAGGTAAAGCAGTTAGAAAGTGTGGGAGAATCTGGTGTTAACCGTTAAAATTAAAGTCATTCATATCTTTAGATCATTTGAAATTTGCATGCTAACATTCTTTGAGGTTTTTTACTGTTTATGAATGAAGTTTAACAACCAACAAGGGAAATCTGAGACAAAACACATTAAAATGAAGTTAAAATTGAGAGTATATATCAGTAATTAATGGTAGAGAGGGATGTTGCAATATTCTCAAAACTAAATGTTAAACTCAGGAAATTAAGAGTTAACAGGTTATGGGAGCCTTAATTTCAAAGAAAGCCAAACAAGCAATTTCAGGTCACACGAACAACCTTTGTCCTATAGTGCTGCCAGAAGGGGAAGGGAAAAGTGAAAAATAATCTAATGTGTTTTAAAACTCAGTTTAATCTAATCTGGATCCACATACACTGAAATGCCTTATTTGTAATCCTGTTGTTTTTGCACTGAGTCAGTGCAAGGGCAGAAGGCAAAGGTCTTGTTCCCTGAGAGATGCCATCTTCCTGGATTGGAGGTACTAGTTCCTCTTCTCCCTTTCTCCAGATTCTTCTCAAGCCTGGCTCTGCTGGAAGCTGGGTGGGTTAGTGTGGATGGGGAGTGACACTCCAGCACTTGATGGGAGGAAGCAGGGTAATCACCTGGATGAACTGAAGGGAGGGAGCAGGGAAGACAGGGAGGTGAATCAGGGTGGAATAGGACACTCTGGATCTCACCCTGTCTCCTTTCTGTGTCTCTGTCTGTTCCTGTCTCCTTTTCTTAGAGGTTCCTTTCCCAGCTGCTGCTCTTGGACTCTGAAGCCATGCTGGCTGAAGATAACATGAGGGAGGGATCCACTTTTGGACCTCAGTTGCTCCCCTCAGCCCCACCACTCCTTCTATCCAGAGCACATGCTGTCTGGGTAGCCCTTTGGCACAGGACCCTGGCCAATCGCAAGTGGGCATCATCTGGAGAGAGGTCACACTAGGCAATACCCACAGGCTGTTTTGGGCTGAAGTTGGATCGGATTGAAACATTCAGTGGCCTTGGATGCTAGCTCTGGAGAGGGACAAAGGAGCGAGCATTGAAATGAGGGGAACAGGTAGGTAAGGGGGATGGGGTACCAGGAGTGATGGGAGATGGGGGCATGGAGGTGGATGGGACCAAAGGGCAGTGGGTCATGAAGGATGTGGTGGGAGCCAGAGTTGAGGACATATGAGTGCTGGGGTGGGGTGTGGGAGCAGAGGAACAAGGGGTTGTGGAGCTAACTTTCTCTCTTCATGGGACATGGTGGTGAGAGATGTGGTGAGGCTGAGCCTTGTGGAGGTGGGTCTTTTTTTTTATTTATTATTTGTATGATCATAGTAGGGGTGGGTGGTGCACAGATGGTAGGATGGCTCCAGATTGCTGTGTGGCTGACGTATATTGTTTTTCCCTAGGCACAGGAGTTACAGACACTCAGCCTGTCATTTGGGACAACTCAAAACAAAGTGCCCAGTATATATGCACTTGAAACCCTTCAACTCCTTTTGTCTTGTGCTCCAAACTGGAAACTGGGACAAGGGGGCTATAACTTGTGAAGATGGTTGAACAGAACAACCCCACAACTGTGCCATTGCCTCCCAGTCTGGTCCAAAAGTGCCCCCTTCTTGTGCAATCCTGCACCTCTGTCAATACCCCTCAATCCTCACCTGCTGCTCTACAGCTCTGCCCATGCTCCTCAAGTCTGACCTTACAGAAATCCTCGTGCCCCAGTTGTTCTCTTATCTGTATGAACAAAGTTTTAGTTTCTGTAGTAGTTTCTGTGTTTAAGGACACATTTGGTAATTAAAAAGATGTGTAATTGATTTGTCTTGTAGAGTTAAATTAGCCCAACATCAGTAGTAGTAAAACCTTCTCTGCAAAGGACCTTTTTTGACTGATATTATTTGTGAAAAAGAGGTATGTTGAGAAATGAAGGTGATAGGAACCATAGAGGTTGAAGAGCTCAGAGTAGCAGCCATGTTAGTCTGTATTCGCAAAAAGAAAAGGAGTACTTGTGGCACCTTAGAGACTAACAAATTTATTTGAGCATAAGCTTTCGTGAGCTACAGCTCACTTCATCAGAAGTGGATTTCATCTGGGTGGACTCCTCCTGAAGGTCGAAACAACAGACTGGACTTCTACAAAGAATACTTCCGCCGACGTGCACAGGCTGAAATTGTGGAAAAGCAGCATCACTTGCCCCATAACCTCAGCTGTGCAGAACACAATGGCATCCACAGCCTCAGAAACAACTCTGACATCATAATCAAAAAGGCTGACAAGGGAGGTGCTGTTGTCATCATGAATAGGTCGGAATATGAACAAGAGACTGCTAGGCAGCTCTCCAACACCACTTTCTACAAGCCATTACCCTCTGATCCCACTGCGGGTTACCAAAAGAAACTACACCATTTGCTCAAGAAACTCCCTGAAAAAGCACAAGAACAAATCCGCACAGACACACCCTTGGAACCCCGACCTGGGGTATTCTATCTACTACCCAAGATCCATAAACCTGGAAATCCTGGGCACCCCATCATCTCAGGCATTGGCACTCTGACAGCAGGATTGTCTGGCTATGTAGACTCCCTCCTCAGGCCCTACACTCCCAGCACTCCCAGCTATCTTTGAGACACCACTGACTTCCTGAGGAAACTACAATCCATCGGTGATCTTCCTGAAAACAACATCCTGGCCACTATGGATGTAGAAGCCCTCTACACCAACATTCCATACAAAGATGGACTACAAGCCGTCAGGAACAGTATCCCCGATAATGTCACGGCAAACCTGGTGGCTGAACTTTGTGACTTTGTCCTCACCCATAACTGTTTCACATTTGGGGACAATGTATACCTTCAGATCAGTGGCACTGCTATGGGTACCTGCATGGCCCCACAGTATGCCAACATTTTTATGGCTGACTTAGAACAACACTTCCTCAGCTCTTGTCCCCTAATGCCCCTACTCTACTTGCACTACATTGATGACATCTTCATCATCTGGACCCATGGAAAAGAAGCTCTTGAGGAATTTTACCATGATTTCAACAATTTCCATCCCACCATCAACCTCAGCTTGGACCAGTCCACACAAGAGATCCATTTCCTGGACACTACTGTGCTAATAAGCGATGGTCACATAAACACCACCCCATACCGGAAACCTACAGACCGCTATGCTTACCTACATGCCTCCAGCTTTCATCCAGACCACAACACACGATCCATTGTCTACAGCCAAGCTCTACGATACAACCACATTTGCTCCAACCCCTCAGACAGAGACAAACACCGACAAGATCTCTATCAAGCATTCTTACAACTACACTTCAGCAGGTCGGTATTGAAGAAACAAATTGACAGAGCCAGAAGGGTACCCAGAAGTCACCTACTACAGGACAGGCCCAACAAAGAAAATAACAACGCCACTAGCCATCACCTTCAGCCCCCAACTAAAACCTCTCCAATGCATCATCAAGGATCTACAACCTATCCTGAAGGACGACTCATCACTCTCACAGATCTTGGGAGACAGGCCAGTTCTTGCTTACAGACAGCCCCCCAACCTGAAGCAAATACTCACCAGCAACCACACACCACACAACAGAACCACTAACCCAGGAACCTATCCTTGCAACAAAGCCCGTTGCCAACTGTGTCCACATATCTATTCAGGGGACACCATCATAGGGCCTAATCACATCAGCCACCCTATCAGAGGCTCGTTCACCTGCACATCTACCAATGTGATATATGCCAACATGTGCCAGCAATGCCCCTCTGCCATGTACATTGGTCAGACTGGACAGTCTCTACGTAAAAGAATAAATGGACACAAATCAATCGTCAAGAATTATAACATTCAAAAACCAGTTGGAGAACACTTCAATCTCTTTGGTCACTCGATTACAGACCTAAAAGTTGCAATTCTTCAACCATAAAACTTCAAAAACAGACTCCAACGAGAGACTGCTGAATTGGAATTAATTTGCAAACTGGATACAATTAACTTAGCCCTGGTCTACACTAGGACTTTAGGTCGAATTTAGCAGCGTTAAATCGATGTAAACCTGCACCCGTCCACACAATGAAGCCCTTTATTTCGACTTAAAGGGCTCTTAAAATCGATTTCCTTACTCCACCCCTGACAAGTGGATTAGCGCTTAAATCGACGTTGCCGGCTCGAATTTGGGGTACTGTGGACACAATTCGATGGTATTGGCCTCCGGGAGCTATCCCAGAGTGCTCCATTATGACCGCTCTGGACAGCACTCTCAACTCAGATGCACTGGCCAGGTAGACAGGAAAAGAACCGCGAACTTTTGAATCTCATTTCCTGTTTGGCCAGCCTGGCAAGCTGCAGGTGACTATGCAGAGCTCATCAGCACAGGTGACCATGATGGAGTCCCAGAATCGCAAAAGAGCTCCAGCATGGACCGAACGGGAGGAACGGGATCTGATCGCTGTTTGGGGAGAGGAATCCGTGCTATCAGAACTCCGTTCCAGTTTTTGAAATGCCAAAACCTTTGTGAAAATCTCCCAGGGCATGAAGGACAGAGGCCATAACAGGGACCCGAAGCAGTGCCGCGTGAAACTGAAGGAGCTGAGGCAAGCCTACCAGAAAACCAGAGAGGCGAACAGCCGCTCTGGGTCAGAGCCCCAAACATGCCGCTTCTATGATGAGCTGCATGCCATTTTAGGGGGTTCAGCCACCACTACCCCAGCTGTGTTGTTTGACTCCTTCAATGGAGATGGAGGCAATACGGAAGCAGGTTTTGGGGACGAAGAAGATGATGATGATGATGAGGTTGTAGATAGCTCACAGCAAGCAAGCGGAGAAACCGGTTTTCCCGACAGCCAGGAACTGTTTCTCACCCTAGACCTGGAGCCAGTACCCCCCGAACCCACCCAAGGCTGCCTCCTGGACCCAGCAGGCGGAGAAGGGACCTCTGGTGAGTGTACCTTTTAAAATACTATACATGGTTTAAAAGCAAGCATGTGAAAGGATTACTTTGCCCTGGCATTTGCGGTTCTCCTAGATGTAGTCCTAAAGCCTTTGCAAAAGGTTTCTGGGGAGGGCAGCCTTATTGCGTCCTTCATGGTAGGACACTTTACCACTCCAGGCCAGTAACACGTACTCGGGAATCATTGTAGAACAAAGCATTGCAGTGTATATTTGCTGGCATTCAAACAACATCCGTATCTCTCTGTGTTATCCTCAGGAGAGTGAGATCTAATTCATGGTCACCTGGTTGAAATAGAGTGGTTTTCTTCAGGGGACACTCAGAGGAGCCCATTCCTGCTGGGCTGTTTGCCTGTGGCTAAACAGAAATGTTCCCCGCTGTTAGGCACAGGGAGGGGGGAAGGTTGAGGGGGTAGTCACGCGGTGGGAGGAGGCAAAATGCGACCTTGTAACGAAAGCACATGTGCTATGTATGTAATGTTAACAGCAAGGTTTACCCTGAAAGACTGTAGCCACTGTTTTATAAAATGTGTCTTTTTAAATACCGCTGTCCCTTTTTTTTCTCCACCAGCTGCATGTGTTTCAATGATCACAGGATCTTCTCCTTCCCAGAGGCTAGTGAAGCTTAGAAAGAAAAAAAAACGCACTCGCGATGAAATGTTCTCCGAGCTCATGCTGTCCTCCCACACTGACAGAGCACAGACGAATGCATGGAGGCAAATAATGTCAGAGTGCAGGAAAGCACAAAATGACCGGGACGAGAGGTGGCGGGCTGAAGAGAGTAAGTGGCGGGCTGAAGACAGGGCTGAAGCTGAAATGTGGCGGCAGCGTGATGAGAGGAGGCAGGATTCAATGCTGAGGCTGCTGCAGGACCAAACCAGTATGCTCCAGTGTATGGTTGAGCTGCAGCAAAGGCAGCTGGAGCACAGACTGCCACTGCAGCCCCTGAGTAACCAACCGCCCTCCTCCCCAAGTTCCATAGCCTCCACACCCAGATGCCCAAGAATGCGGTGGGGGGGCCTCCGGCCAACCAGCCACCCCACCACAGAGGATTGCCCAAAAAAAAGAAGGCTGTCATTCAATAAATTTTAAAGTTGTAAACTTTTAAAGTGCTGTGCTTAAAGTGCTGTGTGGCATTTTCCTTCCCTCCTCCACCACCCCTCCTGGGCTACCTTGGTAGTCATCCCCCTATTTGTGTGATGAATGAATAAAGAATGCATGAATGTGAAGCAACAATGACTTTATTGCCTCTGCAAGCAGTGATTGATGGGAGGAGGGGCGGGTGGTTAGCTTACAGGGAAGTAGAGTGAACCAAGGGGCGGGGGGTTTCATCAAGGAGAAACAAACAGAACTTTCACACCGTAGCCTGGCCAGTCATGAAACTGGTTTTCAAAGCTTCTCTGATGCGTACCGCGCCCTCCTGTGCTCTTCTAACCGCCCTGGTGTCTGGCTGCGCGTAACCAGCAGCCAGGCGATTTGCCTCAACCTCCCACCCCGCCATAAACGTCTCCCCCTTACTCTCACAGATATTGTGGAGCACACAGCAAGCAGTAATAACAGTGGGAAAATTGGTTTCGCTGAGGTCTAAGCGAGTCAGTAAACTGCGCCAGCGCGCCTTTAAACGTCCAAATGCACATTCTACCACCATTCTGCACTTGCTCAGCCTGTAGTTGAACAGCTCCTGACTACTGTCCAGGCTGCCTGTGTACGGCTTCATGAGCCATGGCATTAAGGGGTAGGCTGGGTCCCCAAGGATACATATAGGCATTTCAACATCCCCAACAGTTATTTTCTGGTCTGGGAATAAAGTCCCTTCCTGCAGCTTTTGAAACAGACCAGAGTTCCTGAAGATGCGAGCATCATGCACCTTTCCCGGCCATCCCACGTTGATGTTGGTGAAACGTCCCTTGTGATCCACCAGAGCTTGCAGTACTATCGAAAAGTATCCCTTGCGGTTTATGTACTCGGCGGCTTGGTGCTCCGGTGCCAAGATAGGGATATGGGTTCCGTCTATAGCCCCACCACAGTTAGGGAATCCCATTGCAGCAAAGCCATCCACTATGACCTGCACATTTCCCAGGGTCACTACCCTTGATATCAGCAGATCTTTGATTGCGTTGGCTACTTGCATCACAGCAGCCCCCACAGTAGATTTGCCACTCCATATTGATTCCCAACTGACCGGTAGCTGTCTGGCGTTGCAAGCTTCCACAGGGCTATCGCCACTCGCTTCTCAACTGTGAGGGCTGCTCTCATCTTGGTATTCATGCGCCTCAGGGCAGGGGAAAGCAAGTCACAAAGTTCCATGAAAGTGCCCTTACGCATGCGAAAGTTTTGCAGCCACTGGGAATCGTCCCAGACCTGCAACACTATGAGGTCCCAACAGTCTGTGCTTGTTTCCCGAGCCCAGAATCGGCGTTCCACAGCATGAACCTGCCCCATTAGCACCATGATGCATGCATTGGCGGGGCCCATGCTTTCAGAGAAATCTGTGTCCATGTCCTGATCACTCACGTGACCGCGCTGACGTCGCCTCTTCGCCTGGTATCGCTTTGCCAGGGTCCGGTGCTGCATATACTGCTGGATAATGTGTGTGGTGTTTAATGTGCTCCTAATTGCCAAAGTGAGCTGAGTGGCCTCCATGCTTGCCTTGGTATGGCGTCCGCACAGAAAAAAGGCGCGGAACGATTGTCTGCCGTTGCTCTGACGGAGGGAGGGGCGACTGAGGACACGGCTTACAGGGTTGGCTTCAGGGAGCTAAAATCAACAAAGGGGGTGCCTGTACATCAAGGAGTATTTCAGGCAGGACTTCACGGAGGGTTCCAATAAGAAATGGTGCACCTAAGTTATCGTTCTTATTGGAACAAGGAGGTTAGCCTGGCCTCTGATTGATACATGGCTAGATTTACCTCGCTGCACCTTCTCTGTGAGTGACTGCAGTGTGACCTAGAGGAATGAGTCCCCTAGACAGGGGAGGAGGCAAATGAGTACAAAACAAATCTGGTCTATTTCTCGTTTTGACCCACTCCATCTATCTTTTACATCTTTGGCTGGCAGCAGACGGTGCAGAAGGACTGCATGCCATCCACATCTCATGGCTGCTCGGCAGAAGATGGTATAGTACGACTGCTAGCCATCCTCATCTCTTGCCTGCCTGGCAGAAGATGGTACAATACGACTGCTAGCCATCCTCATCTCTTGCCTGTCTGGCAGAAGATGGTACAGTACGACTGCTAGCAGTCCGTATCGCCTGCCCGCTCACCATAAGACAGTTCAATAGGACTGACTACAGGACTAAAGAGAATGACCTGGTCAAGTCACTCCAAATTTAGTCCCTGCGCCCATGTCTGCCCAGGCGCTCCCAGCCGACGTGGCCAGGAGCACCTCGGACATGACGAGGACGACTACCAATCGTATTGCACCGTCTGCTGCCAGAAGGCAATGGGTTGCTGCTACTGTGCAGCAAAGCCGTACCACGTCTGCCAGCACCCAGGAGACATAGGGTGACGGTTACCTGAGCGGGCTCCATGCTTGCCGTGGTATGGCGTCTGCACAGGTAACTCAGGAAAAAAGGCGCGAAATGATTGTCTGCCCTTGCTTTCACGGAGGGAGGGAGGGAACGGGGGCCTGACGATACGTATCCAGAACCACCCGCGACAATGTTTTAGCCCCATCAGAGTGCTCCATTGTGACTGCTCTGGACAGCACTCTCAGATGCCAGATTGTTTGCCGTTGCTCTGACGCTGGGAGGGGCGACTGAGGACACGGCTTACAGGGTTGGCTTCAGGGAGCTAAAATCAACAAAGGGGGTGGCTTTACATCAAGGAGTATTTCAGGCAGGACTTCACGGAGGGTTCCAATAAGAAATGGTGCACCTAAGTTATTGTCCTTATTGGAACAAGAAGGTTAGCCTGGCCTCTGATTGATACATGGCTAGATTTACCTCGCTGCACCTTCTCTGTGAGTGACTGCAGTGTGATCTAGAAGAATGAGTCCCCTAGACAGGGGAGGGGGGGGAAGCAAATGAGTACAAAACAAATCTGGTCTATTTCTTGTTTTGATCCACTCCATCTATCTTTTACATCTTTGGCTGGCAGCAGACGGTGCAGAAGGACTGCATGCCATCCACATCTCATGGCTGCTCGGCAGAAGATGGTACAGTACGACTACTAGCAGTCCGTATCGCCTGCCCGCTCACCATAAGATGGTTCAATAGGACTGACTGCAGGACTAAAGAGAATGACCTGGTCAAGTCACTCCAAATTTAGTCCCTGCGCCCATGTCTGCCCAGGCGCTCCCAGCCGACGTGGCCAGGAGCACCTCGGACATGACGATGACGGCTACCAGTCGTACTGTACCGTCTGCTGCCACAAGGCAAGGGGGTTGCTGCTACTGTGTAGCAATGCCGTACCACGTCTGCCAGCACCCAGGAGACATAGGGTGACGGTTACCTGAGCGGGCTCCATGCTTTCCGTGGTATGGCGTCTGCACAGGTAACTCAGGAAAAAAGACGCGAAATGATTGTCTGCCCTTGCTTTCACGGAGGGAGGGAGGGAACGGGGGCCTAACGATATGTACCCAGAACCACCCGCGACAATGTTTTAGCCTCATCAGGCATTGGGATCTCAACCCAGAATTCCAATGGGCAGCGGAGACTGCGGGAACTGTGGGATAGCTACCCACAGTGCAACGCTCCGGAAGTCGACTCTAGCCTCGGTACTGTGGAAGCGCTCCGCCGAGTTAATGCACTTAATGCACTTAGAGCATTTTCTGTGGGGACACACACACTCGAATATATAAAACCGATTTCTAAAAAACCGACTTCTATAAATTCGACCTTATTCCGTAGTGTAGACATACCCTTAGGCTTGAATAGAGACTGGGAGTGGATGTGTCATTACACAAAGTAAAACTATTTCCCCTTGTTTATCTCCCTTCCTCCCCCTCCCCCCACTGTTCCTGAGATGTTCTTGTCAACTGCTGGAAATGGCCCACCTTGATTATCACTGCAAAAGGTTCCCCCCCCAGCCCCGTTCTCCTGGTGGTAATAGCTCACTTTAAGTGATCACTCTTGTTACAGTGCGTATGGTAACACCCATTGTTTCATGTTCTCTGTGTATATAAATCTCCCCAGTGTATTTTCCACTGAATGCATCCGATGAAGTGAGCTGTAGCTCATGAAAGCTTATGCTCAAATAAATTTGTTAGTCTCTAAGGTGCCACAAGTACTCCTTTTCTTTTTATAGAGGTGAAAGACCCCTGTATGCTGCTCCTCAAGCCCCTGAGACAGCCAGTGCCCTGCCCTGGAGTCAACTGGAACCACTAACCTAAAAGTAAAAAGCCCCTGAACCCCTTGGAGCCTCCCACGTCCATTTTTATTCTCCTGCCCCATGAATCTTCATTTGGGTTGGTTGGTGTTTCTTTGCCAGGAGATGGCAGCAGCATCCTAGGCATGGTGCAACCTTCTGGTGTCAGTTTACTGACAAGTTCTTTCATGCTCCAGTTTCCCTTTTCAGTCAAGGGGCTCTAGTGTTTCCAGTGTACTAATCATGATTATTCCCCATCTCACCACCACTTTAAAAGAATGGCTGAATCCAGACACATTATTTGCTGGGGAAAGACTTCCCAGCCCTGTATTGCCTCATAAAATCTTTCTCTCTCACTCTCTCATCTCTTGCTCTTAGCCTCATATAGACACTGTTCTGTTGTGTTCACCCTACTGGCTGTCCCAGCCTGACCTAACACTTATGTAACAGCCATTCAAGTCTCATTCCCTTGTCTTGCCTTTGCCAAACCCCACATATGAATCTGCCTTCCCTCCTTTCCTTTCCCAATAGCAGCAAAGTCACAGAAAAGCCAGAGCCTTCCAGAGAGGTTCCTAATGAAATGGCTGCTGATCATGCATTCCTCTTGTTAGACTCTCATACGCAGGTCCTTGGCAGCCTAATTAGGAGATGACTGGGAACAAATCCCTCCATCTCCCTGTGCCCGTCTACTAGCTTCACGTTCAACCCTTCCCTCCTGGCAGCCTCAGAGGAAACTGCTTTCCAGTCCCAGAGGCCTTGACAGAGACAAGGAGATGGCATATTCCAAACCACATGTACCTCCAGTATATTCTCCTGTTAGGAAAGACCAGGACTAGGTGCTGTAGAGGGGAGCAGGAGTGTTGGCAAGGGGGGTTATCTCTCAGCTACTCCAGTTCTGGTTTCCCCCAACAGGAGACACTATGAAGAGCAAGGCAGAAGTATTGGCTGGGGGGAGAGTGTTCACTGGCCACTGGCGTGCAGGCTTGGGGGTGTAGCGGTTTGCAGCTGTTGTGGTGGTTGGTCTTACTTGCCCTCTCCCTTCTGCACAGAGTCCTCCCAATGTTTGTGTTTACTCAGCAAACACAGGGTCTTGTGATTGTGCAAATGCTCAAGTAGGCCCAGAAAGGTCCTCTGTCCCCTCTTCTTCCTCGCTCCTCTATAAAGTTTTGCCCAGGATCTAGCCTATCTCCTGGTGAGGCAGAAGTGCCAAATTGTTCCCACTTCCCTGGTTCCTCTTCACTGTTGTGCTATAAGCCAGTGCTACTCAAAGTGGTGGTCTGCGGACCGGCACCATCGGCTGCCAGTCTGCGCGCACATTGGGAAAAAAAATTGCCAGTCCCCCACATCAGTTAGCTTGAGAAGCACTGGTATAAACCATCGCTGTGGCCTTTAATTAAAGGTCATAACTTAAATTGGAGCTAAACTTAGCTCCCTCCCACTTTCCTAGCACTGGGAATAGCAGCTGGATAAGGGGAGTTGGATTACTCCTCAGCCAGGTGACCTGTCTCTGCCCCCCACCCCCGCCCCGTATCTGCTCTGCTACCCATTCCCATCTGTGCTTTCCGCTGCTGCGTCCTACAGATCCTGCTCTGCTGACCCACACAGTCCTGGAAGACTGAGCTCTGATATGAGGGCTGGGGAAGGTTATGCTCCTCATTTACTAGCCATATACATCTCCATAACCCACACATTCTCATGAAAGGGATTTCAAATGTAGTTTCAAATACCCTCCACCTATAAATCCTAAAATGGGATGCCTATTCTGCAGGCATCTTGTCCCATGCTGGCATTGCTGAGATGAAGCCTGTATAGCGGGCACCCCAACTTGGGCTGGGCATAGCCAGGGCGCTGCCGTGGGAAAGCTCATGCTGCAAGGATCCCAACCTGGGCTAGGCAGGTGCAGTGAACTGATGTACAGCAGGCATTGTATCCAGGCAGGGCACCACCAAAGACCAGTTGTTCGTGCTGTAGGCGCTCCCCCCCCCCCGCCTCGCACACACACAATTGTGTCATTACCAGGCCCTGGCCTGTTCTCCAGCCAATGAAAATGCCCTGACACCATTGATGTGAGCAGGCTAGTCAGGTGGTAGGCAGGATGTCCGCAGTCACGTCCCGCGGGTAGGAGCCTCCCAGTGCCTTATTAAAATGTTACTCACGCTGTTGAGCGCAGCCTGATGGGAACCTGGCCCGAGGGTGGGGGATGCCAGGCCAGCCGGAGTCTGGGAAACACAGTCCCATTCTAAGCATGTCTGGCTAGAGCAATTCAGGGGAAACAGAGCCAATGAATGTCCAGTGCAATTTTAGCTCAGGAGGGCTCGGAGCCAGCAGCACTGTCAGCTTCCTTGCAGCAGTGCTGAGCTGAGGGAAAGGTGCCCGCGGTGGTAGGATCCTCCCTATAGTAGTATCCTGGCAAGCTCCTGTGAGGGTTGGAGCTGATTTGGGGGATTTATTTCCTCTGATTCCAGCTGGTAGCTTGTCTGAGCCCCTTCATTGCTCAGTCCACGTGACAATTGTTCCCTATTCTTTCCAGCGGCGGGGGCAAAGGGGGTAGGTGGTTGTGCAACTCCAACCCAGCCCCCAACTCAGAGCGGAGCTGCTGGGCTTGGCCACTTGCCATATTACCATAGTGTTTGTGATAGAGGTGCATACACATATACCAGTCTTCGGTGAGCGGGATAGAAGGGAGTACCAAGTGTAACTCAGCCTGAGTGGAGACAACGCCCTGGCTCACACCAGTGAGAGACCCAGGGGGCCCATCCCCCACGCAGGGCCTTTGAGGGGGATCGGGAGGGGCTTCCAGAGCCCTTGCCCTCTCCCTGCTTGAAAATGTCAGAGCCCCTGAAAACAGGTTCCCCCAATAGAGGGATCCCCTCAGACACCTGTGTGCTTCCCCTCCCCACATTCTTCTCCCCACTGTGTCTCCAGCTTCCTGGGGGATTCTGTCCTCATGCTGTTGACCTTTTCCAGCCCACTGTACAGCAGAGGGGCTCATGCGGGGGTTCACAGGAGCCAAACAAGCAGGTACAGAATAAACCCCATTGAGAAATGTGATGATCCCCCTCCCTGCCATAGCCCTTCAATCCTGGTTTATAATACTCAACTATTACATTCATAGAATACAGCTCCTCACATACAGCTCTAACTATGCCTATTAGGGGTAATCTGCAACCCTCCGGCGATTTCACTCACCAGCGTCCCCCATTCCCAGACACATAGGGCATGCTACTTATTAGTATTTGTATTACAGTAGCACCCAGAGGGCCCAGCCAGGACCATGGGTCCGTTGTGCTGGGCACTGAACATAGCGACAATCCTCTTTCTATTCCAGTCAGCCCCTGCCTCTATAGCTATCCTAGTACCCCTCAGCCTTGATGGCTGGGCCTGTGCCCTGGGTGCCTTGCGGTATCTATGTTTGCGGTTACAGTGTAGCTGGTAAAAGGAACAGGAGGACTTGTGGCACCTTAGAGACTAACTCATTTATTTGAGCATAAGCTTTCGTGAGCTACAGCTCACTTCATCGGATGCTCAAATAAATGGGTTAGTCTCTAAGGTGCCACAAGTCCTCCTGTTCTTTTTGCGGATACAGACTAACAGGGCTGCTACTCTGAAACCTCTCAGTGTAGCTGGTGAATCCAACTGCCTGTGTCTCGTCTCACAAACTTGCACGGGATTCATGGGTTGGAGTCCCCCTCTGCCTCCGCCTTGCACAGCAAGTGGGGGACACAGGAAAGATCTGTGAGCGATTGGCTGTCTGGGGCTTGCGAGAGGCGAGAGAGGGGGAGCCCCCACCCCCTGCCTTTCCTTTGTAGGATAGGGAGTGCAAGAGAACAGCCAAAAATGGGTGTGGGAGGAGGGAGGCGCGCAACCCAGCAGCATTAGGGCTGCACGTACACTGCTCCGTGCTGCCCTCCGCCTCTGATTTGATGCTTTCTCAAAAGGCTGGGCCCAGCAATTACCATACGGGGATCTATAAAGGCCAGGGCAGCGAGCCTTCCTCCCTTTACCTTCCCCTTACTGCAGGCGTGCGGGTCAGAGGCAGCCCCCAGGTAAGAAAGGGCTCACCACGATGTGGAGCCGGCAACTGGGGAGGCCTCCCGCTGCGCTCCTGGGCAGCAAGGCTGGCCGCTCTGGGGTGGCGGAGGACGGGGTGCGGGTCTCGGGCTGCTGGAGGAATAAAGAACGTGCTGGCCAAGAGCGGGGGCGGCTGGATTCTGGGGACAGGCAGCATCTCGCTGCCCTGCTGGGAAGGGGGCTGGGGCCGGCGTTAGGTCGGAGGGCGCTGAGAAGTTGCAGGGGCAGGTGCACGTGAGGCTCTGGCTGAATCCGGAGTCTCCTTTGTGCTCAGGCGGGACAAGCAAAATGGAGGCGCAGCAGGGGCCGGGGGGGGAGGGGAAGGCTCTGTTACCGGTACTTGGTGTCCCAAGGGGGGCTTTGGGAGGGGGGGCGAGGCGACAAAACCCGATGGGGGCGGCGAGGGGGGGGAGTAACTGCCCGACGTGCGCTGCAAACGGAGCCGGGAGTGGAGCGTGGCGGGAGCTGGTGCTGGCCAAGGCAGGAGGAAGTCGCCCTGTGACCGAGTCGCTCTCTGCGGGAAGTGGGTTTGGAGGCCCCAGCAGGGCGCCTGGGTCCCGCCCCGCACGCACGCGTGGGGCTCCGGTGCTCCGACCCCCACACACCCAGTCCCCGCCTGGAGGGGCTCTCCGGCCCGGCGCCGCGGCTTAAGGGCCAGTTTGCTGGAGACCTCCACCTCCCGGCGGGGGGAGGCGCAGGCTGGGGCCGGGCGCGTGGCTGGGGGGTGCGGGTCCCGCTGTCCTTCGAGGGTGTCTCACCCCCGCCCTCTCCGCAGGAGCATCGCGGCAGAGACACGATGGTGAAGGTCGGAATTAACGGGTGAGTCTCGGCGGGGCTGCCCCTAGGGGCAGTGTAAGGCCCCAGGGTGTGGGCGGGGAGGGGAGGGGAGGGGCACGGGTCTCTTTCTGTGGCAGCGCTGGGGGTCCGTGGGCGGCAGCCGCCGTGGCCACCCCATGCCCCCTTGCGCCAAGGGCGTGGCAAGGTCACCTGGGCCGCGGCTAGCCTGCCCGGCCCCACCCTGCAGCGGCCTGACCCCCGGGCTGGACAGCGGCTGTGGGCCCTTGGCGGGGCGGTCCTAGCCCGGGTGACTCACGTCTCCCTGCGGCTGCTGGGGGGAGGGGGGCTGTGAGTCACCTCGAGCAGGAAGCGCCGCTGCACGCCGGGCTCCAGTCTCCGCCCGGGAAGGGCGCCAGGGTATCGCGTGTCCTCGCCGGGCCCGGGGAATGTGACCTTTTCCTGCCGCGCCGCGGAGTAACGGGATCCAGGGCCCGGGGTAAATTTAGCGCCCGACCTTTGGGGGCGCGGGCTGGAGCAAGTGGCGGGGGGAGGCGGCGCTGCGGTTCTGTGTTAATCTCTGCTCGCCCCTTGCAGGGCTGCAGCGCCCTGGGGACCCCTCCTACCTCATGGCCTTTGCGCCTCCGGGCTGGGAAACAGCAGAGCGTCGGGGTCTCCTTTGTATCCCCGGGTCTGAATCTGGGGCAGCCGCTGGAATGAAGCCAAGTCTGAGCTCCCCATCAGAACAGGGGTTCCCTTCCTGAGCCGGGGTGTGCACCAACCAATTCTGTTCCTCTCCTAGATTTGGCCGTATCGGCCGCCTGGTCACCAGAGCTGCCTTCATCTCTGGCAAAATCCAGATTGTAGCAATCAATGACCCGTTCATTGACCTCAACTACATGGTGAGTGGGACCCTGATCTCTAACTTTGAGCTTGCTGTGCGTGGCCTGTGCTGGTCCTCTACCGCAGTACCCCAAGGGTGGGGAAGGAATGCAATTATCTGACCTATGGATTATATAGTTTCCTGGTGAAACCCAGGGGATGAGAGATCAGATTAATAGGACAGGGAATTCTCAACTGAGCCAAGCTCAGATGAGCAAGGTCACTATAGGCTGCAGCAAACTACAGCCGCCGGGTCCCGTGGCTATAAATCAGGATTGAGGGGCATGAACAGAGCTATGGGTGGGTTTTGAGGATTGAAATAGGGGAGCTTTGAGAATGCAGCCAGTGCTCGACTTCCATCTGTTTTTACCCCTAGGCTTACATGTTCAAATATGACTCCACTCATGGTCGTTTTCATGGCACTGTCAAGGCTGAAAATGGAAAACTTGTGATAAATGGAAACCAAATTACCATTTTCCAGGAGTGAGTATGACTCTTCCTCCCCTTTCCTTTGGAGCTATGGGAGAGGGCATTTGACAACCCTGCAGTTCCTAAACTGTCTGTCTCCTTTTAGGCGTGATCCTGCTAACATCAAGTGGGGAGATGCTGGAGCAGAGTATGTTGTAGAATCCACTGGAGTCTTCACCACCATGGAGAAGGCGGGCGTGAGTGATGGGTCACATCTGGCTTGGGTGTGGGAGGAAAAAGGTGTAGGGATCACTCCCTCCCCTGCAGGTGCAAGGTGGTATGTACAGACTTATCCCTGCCTGAGGATGTATTGCAGTAGGATTTGGGGGGGGCAGGGAGGGCAAGGTGTCCCAAATGTGCTGCTTTACTGGCGCTGTAGAGGACTCTGTTAATGTTGGTCTGTCTCCCTCAGGCTCACCTGAAGGGTGGAGCTAAGCGTGTCGTCATCTCTGCTCCCTCGGCCGATGCACCTATGTTTGTGATGGGTGTCAACCATGAGAAATATGACAAGTCTCTGAAAATTGTCAGGTGAGGATGGGGGGGATTAGGGTTGAACCTGAGGTGCAGAGCTGACCTTCTCATTACCTTCTCATGTGAGCATGTGTGGGGGAGCTGAGTGATCCTGCAGAGGGACCCCCTTCTGTGGGGTGGGCCCTGACTGCCTCTGGCTGACTGTGCCTCTTTTTCTTCCAGCAATGCTTCCTGCACCACCAACTGCCTGGCTCCTTTGGCCAAGGTCATCAATGACAACTATGGCATAGTGGAAGGTCTCATGGTAGGTGATCTGGAGGCACAGAACCCCTTATTCCTGAAAACCCCCCACACCAGCTCTGTTTGTGGGGCAAACCACAGAGCTCTGAAGGATGCCTCTCTCCCAAGACTTTCCCCAGCCCACAGGTTTGGGTGGAGAGGGATGGTGGCTGTGAACCATAGAGCAGGAGAGACAGCCTCCCTATGCTGCCTGGAATAGAGGAAAAGGGAGGGTTGGCGGGAAGAATACTTTAGTTCAGTGCGATGAGGCTCTGTGTGGATGTTGATTCTATTCTAACCCCCCACACCCCCTTTTAACTTCCAGACTACTGTCCATGCCATCACAGCCACACAGAAGACTGTGGATGGCCCCTCTGGAAAGCTGTGGCGTGATGGCAGAGGTGCTGCCCAGAACATCATCCCAGCATCTACTGGGGCTGCTAAGGCTGTGGGCAAGGTCATTCCGGAGCTGAATGGGTGAGTGTCAGTTCCGTGCATCCCTTGTTTTGGGGCACAGGGACATCAGAAGGGGCAAGGAACCTGCAGCTGGCCCACTTTGCCCTCCTCAGTAGGATATGCGGAAGCCCTGATTGGGGGCAGAAGCCTGTTCTGATCCATTTCTCTCTCTCTCTCTCAGGAAGCTCACTGGAATGGCTTTCCGTGTTCCAACTCCCAATGTCTCTGTCGTGGACCTTACCTGTCGCCTGGAAAAACCAGTGAGTATTGCAGGAAGGGGACCAGGCAGGCCCTGGAGCAACTTCCCTGTACCCCCAACGCTTCTGTCAGATCCTCAACCTATGGGGAAGGGAGCAGCTGCTTTTCAGTCTCCATCCTATTTGGAACTAGCCCCTTGTTGCTTGCTTGTTGTGGCTCTGAGAGATTATGCAAGGGGCTGCCCCTGTCTGGTGTAGTACCTGGCATAACTAGGTCCTAGCTATGCATCTCTGCTGTGCTGTATCAAAACTGTGGCTGCAACCTTCCCTGGGAAGCAGCTACCACTCCATGGGGCCTGGGATGCTCTGACTTCCGTTTGTCACTCTCTCAGGCCAAGTATGATGACATTAAGAAGGCGGTGAAAAGTGCCTCTGAGGGGCCTATGAAGGGCATCCTGGGATACACAGAGGACCAGGTAAACTCTCACCATTGTTTAATCAGATTATTGGGGAGGAATGGAGTGAATACCTCCTCGCATGATGGGAAAAGGGAAGCAACCTTTTGGGACATCAAATACTCAATCTTTCCTCCCCCTGGGAGTGTTCATGGATCAGGGTGTCAGTAACATCGTTGTGGGATGGGGGGGATGGAGTTGAGGACAAAAGGGGTGTGTCAGTCTTTCCATCTTCCCTCCCCACTTGTAGGTTGTCTCCTCTGACTTCAACAGCGAGACCCACTCATCCATCTTTGATGCGGCTGCTGGCATCGCTCTCAATGATCACTTTGTCAAACTGGTCTCCTGGTATGGAGAAGAGAGGCTGTGGGGATGCCAGATTTGGAGGGTTGTTTCTCTGGGATAGGTTGGGAATCCAGGGGAGACTTTGGGGGCACTTAAGGGCAAGCTTTGCATTCTATCCCTCTATTGCCTCCAGATGGAATTTTAGGTGGAGAACACTTTGCGGCCGGCAGCAGAATTTGGTTGGCAAAGAGGCAGTATCTGCCTAGGAAGACCTCAGATACTAGGGGGTCAACTTCACTCTATATGAACAGCAGTTTCCAATCTTTCCCAGCTGGGGGAAGGGAGGTTGTTCTGGAGCTTGGTGGGGGGGGCGGGGACTCCCTGTGGGAGTGCATAAGGGGTCTGCCCACCCCTAACTGCTCCTTCTCTGCTTCTGTCACCAGGTACGACAATGAGTTTGGATACAGCAACCGTGTTGTGGACTTGTTAGTTCACATGGCATCTAAGGAGTAAACCAGGTGCATGGATCAGCCTGTGCCTGGGGAATGAGGTGTGGGGGAAAAGGATCACTGGAGGCCCTTGTTCCTCCCACCCTCTCCTCACCACCACTCAGCTCTGCAGCAAGAAGCCAGTTCTGTTCCATCTGTCTTCCCCATTCCTCTACTTTGTCTCTGAAGCTTGGGGGAGGTGGAGAGGCTAACAGAAGCTGACCTGTTTCTATACCACATTTTCTTAAATAAAGTAATAGCTATCCTAAAATATTCCTGTCTGTCTGTCAGGAGAGACCACAAAGGGCTCATAGCATGTGTTGCTGTGGCCACTGATATAGCCTGGGACTTTTCCACCACCCCAAATGGTAGCTACTGGCCAGGAAATACAGCTGTTGTAAACTAAGAATATTTCATACAAGACTAAAATTAAGGTTTAATCCAAGCAGTCAAAACTTGGGAAATGGCAGAAGAAAGGTTGTGCAGAGTGTGGTTAGATTTTTTTTTTTTTTGAGAGGTGGGGTGGTGTCCCCTCTATGGGCTGCCCTAGCCCTGTACACACAGCTGGCATGGTAGACTTCGAGGAAACTGCCCAATGACCACAAGATCCGTTAAGCAATGAAAGCACCCAGCCAGGTTTGTCAATGAAGCATAGTACTAGTGTCCCACAGACTACTAGACCACTAATGCACGTATGCCTGTAACAATGGACCAGCTCAGTGAATGGTGGGACTTTCTGTTCCTCCCTAGGCCAGACAAAGATACTCCCTCTGAGATACATTTTTATATCCAGATGCAAACAAGTTAGTACTCCCCCTCTAATGTAGTTACTGCCCCTAATGTGGCTAGTTATTACCCATTACCTTGAATGTGTTGGTTTAATTAAAACATTTCTATTACATACTATCCGCCTGACCTTATCTTTTAGCAGGGTTCAGTGTGTTCCTGCTATTCTTGAGGAATGTTTCTGTACCATCCTTGATATCAGGATGTTTTGGTACCCCTTAATATCAGGATGTGTTTGAGAGTACTTTGTGACTAGCACTTCTTAGGAATGTGTATTTTTGCGATATAAGCCATGTTCTTGCCAGATTCTGTGAGCAGGCCCTGCCTCCTACCAGGCCTCTGATACAAGGGTTTATGTTTCAGGCTTTCTTCCTACTATGCAGGGAACCTTAAATCTGCCTTTTAATGATAGTCAAGCTACATGATCATATATAGTGCCTTTTTTAATCCATAAGCCCTATGCTTCATTCATTCAGAGCACATGAACAATAGATGAGGTGGGGTTGTATGAATGAAGTTTTACTACAGTTCTTGTGTAATGCTGGGCCTTAACTTTCAGGGGTGGCTGCTAATTGTGTTCTTGTCAGTATCACAATTGACAAGGAAAGCTTGACTTTCAGAAGTGTTGATTGAACAACTAACTGAGGTCAGAGTGGCAGGTGCTTAGCAGTTCTGGGAAATATCAGACCCTAGGTCTGCCAAGTTGGGCACTTATACAAATATTTAGCCTTCATCTTTTTTCTCAGTTGCCTTCTAAAATACTTGCCTTAATACTGATAGAAAGCAGGGAAGTAAATTCATTAATGGGGTGAAGTACTTTGTGTGACAGGTTTGATCACAGAAACCCTCTTGGGGCTGCCAACTGATGTGCCAAGACTACTTCTGCCCCTGCTTTCCCTGCCAGCTTGGGACTCCAGCACCCTGTCTGGTTGAGCCAGGCACCCCAGTCTGCTCCCACACAGATCCAGGGTCTGAACCACGCCGCCCCAAAGCTGCAGACTTAACTGAAAGCAGCTTAAGAAGTGTTCCTGTCTTTAACACTCAGATGCTCAATTCCCAATGGGAGCCAAACCCCAAATCTGTTTTACCCTGTATAAAGCTTATACAGGGTAAACACACAAATTGTTCGCTCTCTGAAACACTGATTGAGAGAGATGCACAGCTGTTTGCCCCCCCCCCCCCCAGGTATTAATACATACTCTGTTAATTAATAAGTAAAAAGTGATTTTATTAAAAACAAAGTAGGATTTAAGTGGTTCTAAGTAATAACAAAGTGAATAACCCAGCAAAATAAAATAAAACACGCAAGTCTAAGTCTAGTACAGTAATAAAACTGAATACAGATAATATCTCATCCTCAGATGTCTCAACAAGTTTCTTTCACAGACTGGATGCCTACCGAGTTTGGGCACAATCCTTTCCCCTGGTACAGCCCTTGTTCCAGCTCAGGTGGGAGCTAGGGGATTTCTCATGATGGCCGCCCCTTTGTTCTGTTCCACCCACTTATATATCTTTTGCATAAGGCAGGAATCCTTTGTCCCTCTGGTTTCCCACCCCTCCTCAATGGAAAAGCACCAGGTTAAAGATGGATTCCAGTTCAGGTGACATGGTCACATGTCACTGTAAGACTTCATTACCCACTTACCAGCCCACAGGTATACAGGAAGATTTACAAGTAAACAGAGCCATCTACAGTCAGTTGTCCTGGTTAATGGAAGCCATTAAGATTCCAAACCACCATCAATGGCCCACACTTTGCATAACTACAATAGGACCTCAGAGTTATGCTTCATATTTCTAGTTTCAGATACAAGAGTGATACATTTATACAAATAGGATGACCACACTCAGTAGATTATAAGCTTTGTAATGATATCTTACAAGAGACTTTTTGCATGAAGCATATTCCAGTTACATTATATTCACACCCATTAGCATATTTTTATAAAATCATATGGAGTGCAATGTCACACTTGGCTATTGTGGGTGTCATGAAAATAAAAGATGTTCAGTGTCAGGTTTGGATGGTGTATGATTAAGGATGTGGCACTACCTCTGTAATGGAAACAAGCAGCTATTAAATATTTCATGCTCAGTCCCTGATCACGATCCGTCCTGTGTAAGATGTGAGATGGGAGGACAGTACAGTATATCATGTAACTAGGTATTGTCGCTTTATTTGGTTATAACATTCCAAAGTCAATCATCCCAACTAGAAAAAGTTGCCTTTGTAATATTTGGTCCTGTTGTTCATATGTATTAGTGTAGTTTAAATTTGTATGATCACCTAGATATAGAGCTGCTAGATAGTATTTCTCTTATCTTAGTTACACAAGTAGCTCCTGGCCTCATTTACTATCCACCATCCAAACCATGCCCTGAAAACATAACTTATTTTCACAGCTCACATGTGAGCTAAGAGGTATATTACTATGCTCATGTTGCAAAGAAGGGCTAGTGAGGCATAGCTTAAGGCAAAATATATCCACTAATTTTGGGTACCTGATTTCATTCACCTGAGTCTTGAATCTTCAGAGTACTTAACATTATCTTTCACTTTCTATGTGCCCAGCACAGTGCCTATTGACCTCAGAAGTGAGTGCTCAGCACTTCTGCAGATCAGAGCCCAAGATCTCAAATTAAGCGTATGAGGGGAAGAACTGCCTGCCCTGTGAAAGGAAGGTGTTCTACAGCCTAGTCTAATTCATCACACATCCATAACTGTCTGACTGACCGAGGCTGGGGTCCTGTGGAAAAATTAGTATCTAATCATGTAATTAAAGATTTGATGGTGGGGGTGGGGGTCACATGTAACTTCAATTCTGGAATTTCCTACCATCTGAGTGCATAACGATACACGCTCAGCTATACTGAAAAGTGGGGTTGCAATTTTCCTAGGCTTGCAAGAAGGGAAACAAAACTTTCATTGTAATAGCCGTGTTAGTCTGTATTCGCAAAAAGAAAAGGAGTACTTGTGGCACTTTAGAGACTAACCAATTTATTTGAGCATAAGCTTTCGTGAGCTACAGCTCACTTCATCGGATGCATTCAGTGGAAAATACAGTGAGGAGATTTATATACACACAGAACATGAAAAAATGGGTGTTATCATACACGCTCTAAGGAGAGTGATCACTTAAGGTGAGCTATTACCGGCAGGAGAGCGGGACGGGAGAAAACTTTTTGTAGTGATAATCAAGGTGGGCCATTTCCACCAGTTAACAGGAACGTCTGAGGAGCGGTGGGGGATGGGGGAAATAAACATGGAGAAATAGTTTTACTTTGTGTAATGACACATCCACTCCCAGTCTCTATTCAAGCCTAAGTTAATTGTATCCAGTTTGCAAATTAATTCCAATTCAGCAGTCTCTCGTCGGAGTCTGTTTTTGAAGTCTTTTTGTTGTAATATTGCAACCTTTAGGTCTGTAATCGAGTGACCAGAGAGATTGAAGTGTTCTCCAACTGGTTTATGAATGTTATAATTCTTGACATCTGATTTGTGTCCATTTATTCTTTTACGTAGAGACTATCCAGTTTGACCAATGTACATGGCAGAGGGGCATTGCTGGTACATGATGGCATATATCACATTGGAAGATGTACAGGTGAACGAGCCTCTGATAGTGTGGCTGATGTGATTAGGCCCTATGATGGTGTCCCCTGAATAGATATGTGGACACAGTTGGCAACGGGCTTTGTTGCAAGGATAGGTTCCTCGGTTAGTGGTTCTGTTGTGTGGTTGCTGGTGAGTATTTGCTTCAGGTTGGGGGGCTGTCTGTAAGCAAGGACTGGCCTGTCTCCCAAGATCTGTGAGAGTGATGGGTCGTCCTTCAGGATCGGTTGTAGATCCTTGATGATGCGTTGGCGAGGTTTTAGTTGGGGGCTGAAGGTGATGGCTAGTGGCATTCTGTTATTTTCTTTGTTGGTCCTGTCCTGTAGTAGGTGACTTCTGGGTACTCTTCTGGCTCTGTCAATCTGTTTCTTCACTTCAGCAGGTGGGTATTGTAGTTGTAAGAATGCTTGATAGAGATCTTGTAGGTGTTTGTCTCTGTCTGAGGGGTTGGAGCAAATGCGGTTGTATTGTAGAGCTTGGCTGTAGATGATGGATCGTGTGGTGTGGTCTGGGTGAAAGCTGGAGGTATGTAGGTAGGAATAGCGGTCAGTAGGTTTCCGGTATAGGGTGGTGTTTATGTGACCATCGCTATTTCCCCCACCCCCCACTGCTCCTCAGACGTTCCTGTTAACTGCTGGAAATGGCCCACCTTCATTATCACTACAAAAGGTTTTCTTCCCGCCAGCCCCCCGCACTCCTGCTGTTAATAGCTCATCTTAAGTGATCACTCTCCTTAGAGTGTGTATAACACCCATTTTTTCATGTTCTGTGTGTATATAAATCTCCTCACTGTATTTTCCACTGAATGCATCCGATGAAGTGAGCTGTAGCTCACAAAACCTTATGGTCAAATAAATTGGTTAGTCTCTAAGCCCTGGTCAACACTAGGAGTTGAGGTCGAATTTAGCAGTGTTAAATCGATTTAACCCTGCACCCATCCACATGACGAAGCCCTTTATTTCGACTTAAAGGGCTCTTAAAATCGATTTCCTTACTCTACCCCCGACAAGGGGATTAGCACTGAAATTGGCCTTGCTGGGTCAAATTTGGGGTACTGTGGACGCAATTAGACAGTATTGGCCTCTGGGAGCTATCCCACAGTGTTCCATTGTGACTGCTCTGGACAGGACTCTCAACTCAGATGCACTGGCCAGGTAGACAGAAAAAGGCCCGCGAACTTTTGAATTTCAGTATTCTGTTTGGCCAGCGTGGCAAGCTGCAGGTGACCATGCAGAGCTCATCAGCAGAGATGACCATGATGGAATCCCAGAATCGCAAAAGAGCTCCAGCATGGACCGAACGGGAGGTACGGGATCTGATCGCTGTATGGGGAGAGGAATCTGTGCTATCAGAACTCCGTTCCAGTTTTTGAAATGCCAAAACATTTGTCAAAATCTCCCAAGGCATGAAGGACAGAGGCCATAACAGGGACCCGAAGCAGTGCCGTGTGAAACTTAAGGAGCTGAGGCAAGCCTACCAGAAAACCAGAGAGGCAAACGGCTGCTCC